CCAGGGATATCTGGGGCCTCCTAGAGCCTAACTCTCCACCCAACGCACCTAACTGCTCCTACCTTTTTGAAGCGACAGGATTTGTGTGTATCGGGAGTGTGCGTAAGGGGGAGGCATGCGGCACTGATGGGAAGCCTGGAAGACTGTTGAGGAAAGGGCAGGGACCCAATCAAGAGAAAGAGCAAATGTGTTCCAAAGTCCGTCAGTCTGTCTTGTGGTACGGACGTGTGGCTCAGGAAGGAGTGGATCAGGAGGCATGAGGTGGTAGACGGGTGAACAGGGGCAGATGTTGTGGAGGAAGGGACTTACAGGATAAGCTGTCAACACAAAAACTGTCTTTACCAGCAGCCAAAGAACCAGATGGAATGAACACCCTTGCTACGCTGACCAACACTTCTCCATCATCACCACTGCCTGGATGCAAACACGAAGAGGAAGAAGAGTGTTCTGAGGTACATATGTGTGTATTGTGGTACGGAGGGCAACTGGGGATCACCTATTATGACACAGAAGACTGCTCAGTTTACTTCGTGCCTGACATGCCTGATAATGAGCACCTCAAGCTGCTGCAAAAAGTGATCGATGAAGTCTTTCCTCGATGCATTGTGACGAGTGCCAAGCAGGACCATCACTTTGCCAAATTCCTGACCAACATCAGTTCTACTGGAGACGAGCATGTGAAGAAACCAGAAATTGTCCTCTTTCCCAATGCAGACTTTGGCCTAGAAGTGAGCAAGCAGCGGATCCTATCTAGACAGTTCCCATTTATTCCCTCCCATATGACTGCAACAGAGAAAATTCTTTATTTATCCTCCATTATTCCCTTTGAGAGCCCACTCATGGTACGAGCACTAGGTGGGCTGCTGAAGTTTCTTGACAGGAGGCGGGTTGGAGTTGAATTAGAAGATAGCACTGTTGGAGTCCCTATCTTGGCCTTTAAAAAGTTTGTGCTAACAGATATTGTGAATATGGACCAAGATACCTACTATGTCCTTCAGATATTTAAAAGTGAGGTGCATCCTTCTGTGTACAAACTAGCCAGTGGGCTGAAAGAAGGGTTCAGTTTATATGGCATTTTAAACCGCTGCAGATGCAAGTGGGGAGAGAAACTGCTGCGGCTGTGGCTCATGCGGCCCACCCGGAACCTGACAGAGCTGAACAAACGGCTAGATGTTATCCAGTTCTTCTTGCTGGCTCAGAATCACGAGACAGTCTTGACCCTTCAAGACTGCCTCAAGAATATAAAAAATGTACCTCTAATTCTGAGAAGAATGACTCTTTCCAACACAAAGGTTAGTGACTGGCAGGCACTCTATAAGACAGCGTATAGTGCAGTGTGCCTGAGAGACACATGTCGTTCCTTGCCCAGCACCATTGAGCTCTTCCAGACAATCTCACATGTGTTCACAGATGACCTGCACTACATTGCCAGCCTTATCAGCAAAGTGATAGATTTTGAAGGGAGCATCTCAGAAAATCGCTTCACTGTCAGACCTAATGTGGACCCCACCATCGATGAAAAGAAACGGAAGCTGATGGGTCTCTCAGACTTCCTTACAGAGGTAGCCAGAAAGGAACTGGAGACCCTAGACAATCGTATACCTTCTTGTTGTGTGATCTACATCCCCTTGATTGGGTTCCTACTCTCCATTCCACGGCTTCCCACAATGGTGGACAAGAGTGACTTTGAGATTGAAGGCCTGGACTTCATGTTCCTGTCAGAGGATAAACTGCACTATAGAAGTGCTAGGACTAAGGAACTAGACAGCATGCTAGGAGATCTGCACTGTGAGATCAGGGATCAGGAAACACTTATTATGCACCAGCTACAGACAAAGATCTTGGAGAAGTCTGCAGTGCTCAGCAATGTTATTGAATTCACAGCACAACTAGATGTGCTGTTAGCTCTGGCAGTGATGGCTCGAGAAAATGGCTACTGCCGGCCACGTTTTACCCAAAGCCATGGCATCCGCATCAAGGATGGCAGGCACCCACTCATGGAGCTATGTGCCAAGACTTTTGTTCCCAATCCTGTGGAGAGTGGAGAAGTTACTGGACAGGTAAAAATCCTCACGGGGCCCAATTCATCTGGGAAGAGTGTATACTTAAAGCAGGTAGGTCTTATAACATTCATGGCCTTAATTGGTAGCTATGTCCCTGCTTCTGAGGCTGAAATTGGAGCAGTTGATGGGATTTACACTAGAATCCACAGCAGGGAGTCAGTGTCATTGGGTCTCTCTACTTTCATGATTGATCTCAACCAGGTTGCCAAAGCAGTGAACAATGCCACAGCATGGTCCTTGGTACTTATTGATGAGTTTGGCAAAGGGACCAACACAGTGGATGGCCTTTCTCTTTTGGCTGCTGTGCTGAGGTACTGGATCAACCAGGGAACCCAATGCCCACAAGTCTTTGTCTCCACTAATTTTCACAGCTTAATGCAGCTGAAACTCCTACCTGACACTCCTCTTGTGCAGTACCTGACCATGGAGACCCATCAAGATGGAGATGAGCTGGTATTCTTCTATCAGCTCAAGGAAGGAGTGTCCACTGTAAGCCATGCTGCTAATATTGCTGCACTGGCTGGGATGCCACACGAAGTGACTGCACGAGGAGTGGAAGTATCAGAGCTTATTCGAATTGGAAAACCCATCAGACGTATTGAACATCCTTCCCAGAACAACCAGCTGGAGAGATGCAAATCTCTAGTGGAAAAATTCCTTTGCCTAGACCTAGATGACCCTCATGTGGATTTAGAGGAGTTCATGCATCAGGAGGTGCTGCCCTCTGCAGCTTCAGTTCTGTAATAGGTGCAAGCTCAAAAATATGGATGACATGCTATAAGCTTCCCTCATTCGGAAGAAAAAGCTGAAAGGGTGAAAGGGAAGGAACTTAAAATTTCCCTATAAGTTTATATTAATGAAATATTTTTCCCTTCTTGGCATTCTTTCCAGCTCCAAATGAGAAATCTGATCCAGTACACAAAGCCAGATATTCAGGATTATATGCTTTCAGTTGGAGATAAAATAACTTCTGCAAAAGACATTAATTTGTCTGTGCCTAAGACTTATAACCACACCCAATACTTAACTTTTATAAGCTCCTGATAATACATAAGGCATGTTTACTTCCTATGTTTCAAACAGCTTCTGTAGCTATAAATATGTCTGCTAAATGATCTTTTTACCTAAAGATGTCAGAGCAGAAGGGCTGGTCATTAGGGAGGCTAATTTCTGATCTTCCAGTTAAGGTCTTAAGCATTTTATCCCCCTGCCTACACATCTATAACATCCATATCTAATAACCTTAGAGCACAATTTGAAGCTTAAAAGTTTACAAGGTTCTTTGAGATGATCAGACAAAGAGATCATAGTTTAGGATTTACCCCTCCTAGGTTAGCAGTACTGTGAATGCAATGTTCAATCCCTTATAGTTTATTGTATTATGCTATGGTGACTCTTAGTTAGTTTAGTATCAATATCAAAAGATTTCAGTGAAATATGCATCCTACTCTTCATAAACAGAAAAAAGTAAAACTTGTTGTCAGAGTGTGAAGCACTGAAATTGAGGCTAATAAAGAAAAAAAGAGGATGATTTCATCTGCTCTATGGCTTCTCTTACACCATCACCCATCTTCCAAAAATGGCACTCCCGACAAAGAGAGATGATAAACACGCTATACACATGCACTATATGCACACTATATGCATGCATATACACACACTATAGTTTGGAACTTCTAGGGAAAACCATATTCAAGCTCTGATTAGTGTTGGTCACATGAGAAGTTAAATGCTTGCTGCATCTGAATTTCTAGGGGTTGTTCTTTCACATAATAAAATGACAGACATGACTTATCTTAATAGACAATCTCTGTTCAGAAGAAGCCAAGTTAATGAGTGGCTAAAGAACCTCAGTAATCACAGTTTCTCTGAGGAAAGGGAATACCTGAAGTAGATAAGCATTCATGGCCTTAATTGGAAGCTCTGTTCCTGCAACAGAGGCTAAGACTAGGGCAGTTGATGGGATTTACAACAGGAACCACAGCAGAAAGTCAGTGTGTCTACATCTCTCCTTTGAATGATGCAGGTCAAAGTCAGTGTGTGCTGGCAGAATTGAGTGAGGATGAGTTCAGCTTGAAGAAAGGGCTCTATTATAACAATGCAGCTATGTGGTACATTAATACTACTTAATTTTAGAAACATACAAAACTAATAAAAATCACAAATGCAAAAAGAAAGTCAGTCAAATAATATATTAAGTCAAAATTTTAATATCTGTTTTCAAGTTCCAAATAAAAATCTAAGAATAAGGGAAGTTGTACTAGAATGCAGGTTAACTAGCCTTTGCTTCTATTTATGCATGCTATTAGCGCAAAATATCTTTAGTGAAGACAGTATCTGATGAACACGGAAATAACAAATGCTCAGGCAAAGCACTGAGTTAACAGGACATATGCATAGATAAGTAAACAGGACATATGCGTTGATAAGTAAAACAAAAATAGGACTGATCACTAATTTTCTTCTGTATAGTTCAGCTGTTATATGCAAACAAAACAGTAGAGGCATTTCCTCTGAGCAAGTTCTCTCACTGACTGCCAAAAGTTGCTAATACTGTTCACAGTACAGACAACAGAAGACATGGTGCTACTCTGTCCACTGTGCTGAATTTGCTTGAAGTTGATGCTTTCAAGGAGCCAAACATATGAACATTACTACAAGTGGAGGAAGGTTTGTATGGGTCACCCAACAAAAAAAATCCTGAAATTTTGTAACTTCAGTATGAAATATTTTATGCTCTGTTTAGTGTCAATTGATAATGACAAGTAAAATGGATCTGAATCAGACTACATGCACATCAGTTAAGATTCTGATAGTGAGAGGACTCTGTTTGGGCTGCAGGGTAATAATTTTTCCCTTAATGTGTTGTGTGGACTATAAGACCACAAAATGAACAACTCAGTTTCAAGGAAAGACAGTGGTGACAAATGTTTAAAACAAACATGAAACAACACAACAATAAATTTTACTATAATATTGAGTTATTGCTCTAATCAGTTGACTTAAAAAGTAGTATCTGCAAAATAATGTCCAGCAACCATGCAGTTATCTTGTCAACATTCTTAAATCATACGTATACACACCTGTTGACTTGTTTCAATATTACACCAAACCTTGTAGTCATATGTACACTAATCCAAAATAAGTTTAAAATTCTACCTTTCTGATTTGATTATGTAAGAATTATCAGAAAAGTTCAACTGTTGCCCAGTAGTTCTATGAAATCAACTTAATATTTCCAGTTCTGTGGTACTTGTATTGAAGGATCTCAAATTGTCTTACAGAATTTATCCAGTATATATCACAATACTCTGTGAAATAAGTAATACTTTGGTAGGGTGAGGCGCTGAGACAATATGAGTTGCAAAAGGTCACACAGCAAGTTAATGGGAGTCAATTAGGAATAGAAGCACTGTCTCCTACTACATAAATAATAGACTCATTACATTGTAAGTTAGTTACTGTGTACTCAGTGATGTATACAAAAGGTGTGGTACTTGGTCAAGGTTCTTTCTGTCTAAGGTTTCAGTTTTAGAAAGGGCTTTTTAGAAATTGTTATATATAGACATAAGTTTTTGAAGGTTCGGGGCCTAAGCATTATCATGCTATCCTTGTCTAGTCCTGCAGAGGAATGAAAAGCATGTTATTAGCATTTCAAGGAAGTTTTCAGTGACCTCACTTGCCCCCAAATTGTCTTACTGGACTAAAAGGGCCAACTGTTTTACACTCCCTTAGTTATTAACTAAGTTATTTCGATCGTGTAAGTTATTTCGCTTGCATAAGAAACTAAGAAGTCTTTTATCACCTGATTAGCTCAATATAAATGAAGCCCAGTGGTTTAACAGTGGTTTAACAGGGCAACTCTGTGCCCTGGGCAGTTTCAGTGCATGGGGCAGTGCCAGCTGGTGCACTATTTTTTGCCCTGTTAAACACTAATTATATGACTGATGCAGTTGCTACGGCTTTTATCCTTCTATCTTGTATTCCATTATATAAATGGCCATCTTTTACCTTTTTCTAACTTTAAAAGAGCAAAGGTTGCTGCCCCCTTTAAGAGATTTTTGCTTCTCATGTAAAGTTTTATTTTACTTTCTTTTCTCTAAGGTTACAACATTTTAATTTTGAGATTTGCTAGACTGTTAGCATGCTGCAGGGATTGGGTTAAATGATGGCTTCTTCAAGGAAACCCCTTCAATTTTAACAACTTCTGCCCTGAATATAAATATATCCACTGGTTACATTTTCCATTATTTTTGATCAGCTCTTTCTTTGAAATGTGCTCTCCCTATTGTTGCCTCTGTAGATTTTCTCCTTTGTTACTTGTAATACTCTTGTATGATCTGAAAATGTGATTAAAATGTAGTATTTAAATGTATTATGTAACCTTTACCATGTTTTATGTTTTAAAAGTATTTATTCATTTGTAATTTATAAGAAGAAATAGTTCAACAATAAAAGTGAACAATGATAGTAAATGCTATTCCTTAGCATGGGAAGAATGTGTGTATGGATATGCTTCACATAGTACAGTACTGGCTGTTGTTTAATACGTATCTTCCATGGAATTTTATAGCCTATGTCACTTAATGACAAATCCAAATATGTAATTTTCTACTTCGGTATTTTTAAACCTCTTTGATCTATTCCCAATGTATTTGTGAATGTTTGCCTGTTTTATATTGTTTAATAAGAGCGCTTGTATCCATTACATATAGTGTCAAAAGCTCCTTTTCTTTTCCTTTTCTTTTCATATAACATTTTGACAAATATTATTACTTCAAGGCATTATTTTACTTACCAATGTCATGCAATAGAATAAGAGTTAAAATATGCTATCTATGGACAGAAGAAAACAGTTTTATGGTGATACGGAGTTTAGAATAACGTCATAAAATGTGAATGGAGTGAAATAAAAATGTGGATAAAATATTACTCTGGGCCTTGCTTCTGTGTACCATGATTGCTTTTCTGGGGTTTTTTTTCCTCATTACCACTGTTTCAGCTTTGAATTAATAATTTTTAGCTCTTCTTAGATCAAGTGAAAGAAACTAATGACAAATTTTGTCTGAGATACATTGTAGCTACTTATAAGAGAATGCATAAAAATTCTCAGTTATCTTAGAATTTATCAAAGAATATGCAATAAAGTATAGAGCTTGTAATTTGCTATTTAATTGTGCACATACCAGATATGGACAATTATATTTATTTGTTTAACAGTTGATCTTTTTCTGTCATCCAGTATCAACAGAAAATAACCCAACCTGTATTGTTTTCTATACCTGTAATAATAACTAATAATCTTGTAATTAGTAATCCGATCACTGTATGTAAAAAATGAAAGCTAAAAATGGTAACATTTTTTGCTACATTACAGTGTTTGATACTACACAAAAGTTTTAAAATAGTATGGAGTCAGTCACCCAGTAAGAAAAAGTCATGATGCTTTTCTACAGTATGAAAAACCATGATTAACATTTTCACTTTTTTAATCTCCTCTTTACAATTGAAAGAGAACAAGTTTTATATCAGAAGCAAACTAAAACGGAAGCTTAGGTTTCAATACAGAAAAATACTTAAGCATGAGCTTAAGGGAAATAAAGTGGATGTAGGCATGTGTTTAAGTGTTGCTGATTGAGAACCTCTAACAAACATACTATAATAACAGATTATGTTCTAAAATGAAAAAATTATACCAAAAGAATGGCATAGCTTTAAACTATTTCACACACATATTAACACAACTGGATTGCCTGGAATCTTATTTATTTACAGTATAGCTTCTATTACTAAAGTTGATATCTTGAAATCACAGTACTGCTTAGCAGTCCCACATATAATGGGGACCAGCTTTCTCAATAACTTCTCACACTACATAATTTTCTTGATAACTGACTTTCAGACAGGTTTAGAAGATCACTGTTTTCTCAATAAAATGGTATGTAGAATACTACAGGGAAAAGATAACACAGTTGAAAAACACCCAGAAAGTGTTTTGGGTGTTTTGAGACCTGTCAGTTCATATTCTTATAAAATGCACCTGACTACAGAGTCAGCAGTCCTGTTTGGAAATTAATTTCTGTATAATTAATTAATATTAAGCTACAATTAAACTATTTCACAAACAATAACTCTAACTCCTGTATTGTTTTTCAAGATAAAATACAATTGATGTATAGCGAATATCAAGAACACGCTCCTTCAGTCATTTACCAGATTTTTTGTATATTAAAAAATGAATTTCTCTAGAATATTAGTGTTTTAAAATCTTACCTGTCTGCCTGATTACAAAGAAGTCAAGCCTGAGATGCTGTAGACTATGAATAAAGTAAAATTCATGTGCTCATCCCCTGTCTTCCCAATTAAATTATATAGCTACTATTGTGTTCCATGAAATGTGAGCTCACCTGCTTACGCAAGTCTGGTGATTTTGACAATTTCATGAAGGTCAAATGGGGTTTAAAAGCTCTGTTTTCTCCTGCCAAGATGCCCTTTTCTTGAAATATCTTCTTCATGGTCTCTGGAGAAGGAGAAATGCAGAGGCACTAAGATACTGAATACTGAAGATACTGAAAATGTGCTTTCAACAGTAATCCGAGTCACGTCCACTCCATGTAAAAAACAAAGATAATCAATAGAAAGGGTAAAAGTGGTTTCTAGTTCTTTCCAAAATTACATATTTTTACATATCAGAATAATCTGATATTTGGAGCTGCCAGAGGTACACGCTTGGCTTCACTAAAAAAAGCAGCAATCTATTTTTAAAAAATCAATATCCATTCTAAAATCTGGTCCTCCCACCATAATAGCAACTTTGTATTAATCTTGTTCAGAGATTACTATCATTTAAGTAGTTCCTAATGTCACAAGTACTGCTACTGCTAATGGAATTTGCTATATTTGAAAAGCTATTTTCTATCATATTCTGTGCTCCTTAATCAAATAATATTTGATAATAATATAATCATTCCCATTTCAGGTGAAAGATGTTGTTTAACAACTAGAGTATTTTGCCTCAAACTTGAAGGGCAAAGCTTGAAACTGGATCAAACATGCTGAAGTAAGAGCTCTCTTTGTTTGTAGCTCTCTCTGTTGCCGTTCAGACTTACTGGTAAAGGAGAAGGTGTAGTTCAACACACAGACAAGACTAGAACTTTTTTCTCTTTCATGGCATTTTTTCTACAGCTGAGGAGGAAAGCAATGTCAATATGCCACCTAATGTATCCTCCTCCAACCCGTGTACCCAGAGCAATGTAACAGTGAACTTTTTGGAAATACAATTACCACAATTTAAATTCGGGACAAGATGAAGTCTACTATAATAATCTTGTATAGTAATCTTGTACTCTGCTAGACTGAATACTATCTAAAGCTAGTCACCTTGCTTGAAAGCCATGCAAACCAGGTGGAACTATGCGTATTTATATCTCTTGTGATGCTGACTTCAGTGGGACTATTCACAGGATGTAGAGTTAAACAGGTTTATTAGTTTGTTGAAGAAACAGGTATCTGTGTTATTATAGATTTCATAGATTTCATAGACGTTAGGGCTGTAAGGGACCTCCTGAGATCATCAGGTCCAGCCCACTGCCCCAGGGGCAGGAAGTTAGCCAGGGTCCAATCACCCCAGCAAGATAAGCATCCAAGCATTTTTTTAAAGTATCCAGAGTAGATGGTTGCATCATTTCTGGTGGGGAGTCTATTCCATACTCTGGAGTCTCAGACAGCAAAGAAGTTTTTTCTTATGCCCAGTCTAAAATGGCCTTCCAGCAGTTTGTGACTGTTTGACCTTGTCTTCCCTTGGGGTGCCCTGGTGAACAGATATTCTCCCAGTTCCTGATGCAGACCCCTTATATACTTACAGGCTGCCCTGAGCTTTCGCTTCTCCAGGCTCAAGAGTCCCATGCCTCTCAACCTCTCCTCATAAGGTCTGCTCTCTTGACCTCTAGTCATGTTTGTGGCTCTCCTCTGGACTCTACGCTAATGCACAGTAAACATCACTAAATAACCATGCACCAGCACTAATGCTCAGTAACTTTAGGTACTGTGCAGTTAGTTAGTCCTTTATTAAGGAAGTAGTAAACTAAGTGTTCAGTATCTAAGGTGCATTAATGAATGTGTAGACACACCCACTTAGGTATTAATCCTATACTTGTTTCTGTGACCATCAAGGGTGCCCTAGTGGTAGAAATGATGTAAACAGGAATTCAGGATAGATTTGCATCTGATTAACTAAATTAGATATGTTTAAGTAACTAGGAATGAAAAAGATTCCCATGAAGTGTACACTGACCTATTCTAGGAGCACAAGGTCGCTAAGTATGAAAAAGACTTGGTAAGATTTGGTAGTCTCAAGAATTTGGGGTGCAGTTTCTTCGAACCCCCTGTACGTATCTTCTTGAAACTTGGCGCGCTTTATGCCCTCAGAAGAGGCTACCACTTCTGCAAGTTTTATCCAAATCTGGCCAGAAATGACAAAGTTACAGGCTGTTTCAACCTTCCCCATTATAGCCCATGGGTGAAACATCGAAACAGAGTCAAAACAGCGAAACATTTCAACTTGCCTCGTTTTGTTTCGAGGCTGTTTCAACCATACCTGTTTCATTTTGAGTTTGCTGTTTCAACCTCGAAACAGGTCAAAACAGCGTCAAAACAAAACTCGTGGCGAAATTTCGCACAGCCCTAGTGTAAATAGCCTGCCAGGCCTTTGTAGTGAAAAATAAATGTTACTCCATATTTCCTCCCCACTATATTTTTAACGTGAATCTCACAGTATTTGTGTAAACTACTTTTTAATTAAGTGCAAGAACAGACTGTTTTATCATCTGATGTATTACTCAGAAACAGAACATTTCTAAGGGAAATCTATAGTAATAACTTGGGATTTGAAAGACCCAGGGTTAAATCTCTGCTCTACCAGAGATTTCTTTTGTGACATTGATCTGTGGGTCCTATGTGTAAGGCTGAGATAGACTCAAACAAGGACACTAAGCATTTACTTTTCACCTTATCCTGTCTGCGTCTTGGCTCCCAATTATAAAATGGGGATATCAGCACTTCCCAATGCTCTACCACAAGGGTTGTCAACTTGGGGTATGTGTGGGTGGGTGGTGATGGAGCGCTGCCACCCACGACCCCACACCATGCCACGGTCTCCCAGGAGCGGGGCCAGGGGGGCAGGGACAAGGGCAGTGTCTCCCCTTTGCGGACCACACAGGTGCCTCCCAGCCAGCCGGACCTGGGGTGGGGTTGAAGCTTGCATGTGGCAGTAGCCACAACCACCTACCACCCCGCACTGTTGCTGCTTTGCGTCTGGCTGTGCGCCATCCCCCCCTGCACTCCACATCCAGCCGCCGGGGGTAAATTTATTTTAAAATGTTGAAAACCCCTGCTCTATCTCACAGGGGTGCTGTGCAAGGGTGTTGGATGCCCTGGTAACTAGAAACCATATGCAGAGAACTGTGCACCAGAACTTGGAACTTTCCCCACTTTTGTATATGGGATTTGTTATATAATATTTTACACAGGAAATCCTCATTCTCCCTTTCCATGAAACCAAACAGCCTTAAACAAAAATGGATCTTCTCTAGTTCTCCTGTACGGAAGTCACAAACTGTGGAGAGTTCCTGCAGGAAAGCTCTCTATCTCCTGAAAAATGTAGAGTTGTGTTTTGTGAGGGCATTCTCCACAGCAGCAGTGAAGAGGAAATTTGGATGGAGCAGGTGAAAATGGACATAGATTTAGGTCAGAAAATCTAAGACTTTGCAGATACATTGATCAAAGGGCCCCACAGAAATAAAGCGCAGGAGCTGCTAATATGACTTAGTCTTTATCACATTCAGATTCGGTTTAAATCTGCATTTTCTTTTACCTGTCTCCTTTATCCATTTATGAAAACTGTGAGACATATGTATTCTTTGGTGTAATTGTTACCATAAAGGGCACTTTTACATGTGCTCAGGTGGGAAAGGGAGTGCTTTAATTAAAATGATGTACTTCCAGCTGCACCCAAATCAGGCCCTATAATAGCTGGAATAGCCTGCCATCAGAGGTGGTTCAAGCACCTACATTGAACACCTTCTAGAGAAATTTGGGTGCTTATCTTGCTGGGATCCTATGACCCCAGCTGACTTCCTGCCCTTTGGGCAGGGGGCTGGACTCGATCTTCCGAGGTCCCTTCCAGCCCTAAGATCTATGAAATCTATGAAGTGAGGGTCATCTGCAGTCTGGCTCATGAGGCAAGAGCTCTTAGGTCTAGAGGATGCTGGACAGTTCCTGGAGTAGCCACTGGAGGCTTCAGTGGATTATGACTATGATGTCTGGAAAGAACTAAAGGAGATGGTAGAAAAGTGACCCTGGCAAGACCAAATGACATTAGAGATAACCAGAGCAAAACTATGGATGTAAAGCCTTGGAGAATTAAAGTAGGAAGTGGATCTAGAGGTTATATGCATTGAGCTATGTGTATAATGTGGCTTTAGTGTCTAGCCTCCTAGTTGACTCAGTTGAACACTGAACCCAGGAATGAAGAATAAACCGGGGTACCCCTACCTTAACCCCACCTGGTGCAAAAGGCTATTGGTAAGGAAAAAACTGTGTCCTGGGGCATTTCAGTCTTTAGGAAGTAGGCTAGTGAGAAGTTAAATTCTGGAAAAGAGTGGAAGTAGGGGGAGCAGCTATGCATTATTACTCAGTTACAGACCAGTCTTGGTAAAGAGAAGAACCCTGCTGTCAAGCTATTTCAACATCTACAGGATCTCACCGTCACACTACCTGAAAGATAAGTCAGTGTATTCAAGAAGTAAGGTATGGAGTAGCTAAAGTGGCGAAGGGATAGAGCATTTAACATCAGCACTTATCACTAACTGTTGGAGCACTTAGCCTATAATGCTGCAGAGGGCTACAGATATCTGATTCTGTGAAGGGACCAGGTCAAGAAAAAAAAAAGATAAGGCATCAAATAAATGGGCTATATTTGTTATAGGGACTGAGACCATGTAACAGGCAGATATATGAACGGATTTAAATATATTGTTTTTCCTGCTGTTTTGTGGCATTTTAGCTAATTATATAGAGGAGATAGCAATATCTTGCCGGTATTTCAGGAACAAAACTGCTTTTATATCAAATATGTTTCCATTAAAAACAAAGGATCACATTTATGTCTGATATATTTCTACTTCTCTTAAGAGTTAAATTAAAGATTTATTTTAGAATGCAAAAAGCAAGTGATGTGAAGCTAATATTAGTGTTGGCACGGCAGCCTGACATGAAATTAAACATCAGCATCCCTACTAAGATTTCTATTCATTAATAGAATATAGCATATATGTTTATTAAGAGGTGCAAGCAAAATGGACATAATGCATTCAGTTAGAGATGCTCCTGATTGAGTTTCATAGCATGTTATTGTTTGTCTCGTTTAAAATGCCAGATATTTGTAAATATGCTTATTCTTTTTCTCTTTTAATCTGCAAGGAAACATATTTGAAGACTTATAGCTTGGCAGGAAA